CCCCCCAACGTCCCCACATCTCCAATGTCCCTCATGTCCCCCGCTGTCCCTAATGTCCCCCATGTCCCTGATGTCCCCAATGACCCCATGTCCCCACAATGTCCCCACATCCTCCCAACGTCCCTGATGTCCCCATGTCCCTCAATGTCCCCCTATATCTTCACACCACCCAACATCCCAAACGTCCCCCATGTCCCCACATCCCCTCAAATCCCCAATGTCCCCATCTCCCCACATCCCCCAACGTCCCCACGCCCCCCCCAATGTCCCCGATGTCCCCACGTGCCCCGATGTCCCCAACGTTCCCCGCCCCAACGTCACCGGCGTCGTCGAGGAGGACGTTCTCGGGCTTGAGGTCGCGGTAGACGATGCGATGCTGGTGCAGGTGCTCCAACCCCAGCAGGATCTGGGCGGCGTAAAACACGGCCCGTGGCTCGGGGAACCCGGGGGTGTCCTCGTACACGTTGTACATGTGGTACCTGACACGCCAAGCACACGATAAGGACATGCCAGCCCCCGGGGACACGCCAGCACCCAGGGGCACGCTGGGGACACGGCTTAGGGAACTCGGGGTTGGCCTCATCTACGTTACAAGCGCGGTACGTGAACATGTTAAGGACACGCTAAGGACACGCCCATGCCCAGGGAGATGTCAGAACCTGGGGACATGACACGGGGAACCCAAGGTTGGCCTTGTCCACATGGCATGAATAGGGCACCTGCACATGCTAAGAACATGCTAAAGACATGCCAACACCTGGGGATGTGGTATGGGGCATCCAAGGTTGGCCTCATCCATGGTGGATGTGTGATACCTTCGCATGCTAAGGACACACTAAGGACACGCCAGCACCCGGGGACACACCTTGGAGAACGCAGGTTTGGCCTTGTCCGTGTTGCACGCGTGGCACGTCTACATGCTAAGGACATGCTAAGGACATGCCAGCACCCAGGGACATGCTGGGTACGTGGCTTGGGGAAGCTGGGGTTGGCCTCACTCCCGTTGCACTTGTGGCACTTGCACACGCTAAGGACATGTGAGACACACTGCTGGGTGACATGCACACGCCAAGGACACGCTTACCGCAGGTCACCGCCGTTCATGAGGGTCATGACGAGGCAGAGGTCGGTCTTGGTCTGGAAGGCGCAGGCCAGCGAGACGATGAAGCGGCTGTGAACCCGCGCCAGGATCCGCTTCTCCACCAGTGCCGCCTGCACACGCCAAGCACACGCCAAGGGCACGCGGCTGGTGATGGTCCAGCCCACGCCAAGGACACACAAGTGGCACGTGCCAAGGAAAACGTGGGAGGAACATGCCAAGGACATGCAGGTGACACACGCCATGGAAAACACGGGAAAAGCACACCAAGGACATGCAGGTGGCACACACCAAGGAAAACACGGGTGACACACGCCAAGGAAAACATGGGAGGGACACACCAAGGACACACAGGTGGCACATGCCAACGAAAACATGGGAAGAACATGCCGAGGACATGCAGGTGCCACACGCCATGGAAAACACGGGAGGAGCACACCAAGGACACGCAGGTGGCACATGCCAAGGAAAACATGGGAAGAACATGCCTAGGACACGCAGGTGGCACACGCCAAGCAGCGGGACGGCGGTGGGGCCAGTGGGATGACCAACGGGGCCACCCACCGTCCCCACCCCGTCTCCCACGGGGGTCCCACCTCGTAGCCCTGGCGCTTCTTGAGGCGCTTCTTGTTGAGGCGCTTGTTGGCGTACATCTTGCCGGTGGCGCGGCGCTGGCAGGCGCAGACCTCGCCGAAGCC